AGGGGTGCGTGGCGGCGTTCTCACTGGAGGTGGATGGTCGCGAGCGGCTGGGTCTGGCGGTCGAGATCAAGATGGACAACGGGACGGGGACGTTGGGATGGCTCTCGGGGCTGTGGCAGGCGTTCACCAGTAAAGGGGCTCAATACAGGCAAGTCGGCCGCGAGATATGCAAGGCCGTCTCGGCCAAGGTGGGGATTCCCGTCTTCCACATATGGCTGCTCGAACCAAGAACCATCCCAAAGACAACAGCAGGTACGTCTATTTGACGTACACATATGCCGATAGACAATGTCAGATTCAAGCGTTGTTGTCCTTGGCTTCTGTCGCTGCCTCTCGTCAGGCAAAGTTCGTCGGTTCAAGACGCGTGAGCTCCTCCTCAACATGGTGCTGGCGGGCCTCATCTGGGATGAGGTTGTGGCTGAGCCCGACACGGACAACGAGGAGCAGGCCGCAGCAGCTCACCTACCCACCAACGAGGCGTCAGTAGCCGAGTGTGCCGCAGGAGGAGACAATGATGATTCCCCAGCTGCTCGGACGAGGCCGTCTGGCGGCTCCGTTGCGACACAGGAGGAGGCAACGGGCCAGGGCCTCTTCATCGGACAGAGGAGGGAGATGGTCCAGTCAGCAGTATTGGCGTCGGCGGCCAAGATCCTGGGCAACACCGACACATTCGACTTCGACGCGCCTCTGCACGAGCTGGGTGTCGACTCCATTGGTGCGGTGGAGTTTGCCGAGAACGTGTCCCAGACGCTGTCGCTGCACATCGAGCCGACGCTTATTTTCAATTACCCAACGACGAATGACATCATCGACTTCCTCGTCGGCGAGCTGGAGGGCTGCGCCATTGAGGAGGCCGCACAAGAGGGCGGCAAACTGGTGGGCGGCATCAGGGCAGACGAGCCCATCGCCATCGTGGGTGCGGCGTGCCGTCTGCCGGGCGGCAGCTCGTCGCTGGAGTCGCTGTGGGAGCTGTTGAGCACCGGCGGCGATGCGATAGTGGAGGTGCCGCTGACCCGCTGGAACGTCGACGAGCACTACGATGGGGACCCCGACATGGAGGGCAAAATGTACATCCGGGAGGGGGGCTTCATCGACGGCGCAGAGATGTTCGACGCCGCCTTCTTTCGAATCAGCCCCGCAGAGGCCAAGACCATGGACCCCCAGCAGCGCATCATGCTGGAAGTCTCTTACGAGGCGCTCCACAATGCCGGCTACTCGCGGCAGACGCTCATGCGCAGCCAGATCGGCGTTTTCGTCGGCTGCTGCTCCTTCGATTGGCACCACGTGCAGAACCAAACGGCCCTCAGCGTGAGCAGCTACAGCACCAGCGGGGCCGCCGCATCTATCCTCAGCAACCGCATCTCCTACATTCTCGGCCTCCAGGGGCCATCCATGACGGTCGACACGGCATGCTCATCCTCACTCGTGGCCCTCGACACCGCCGTCTCCAACCTCCGACGAGGCGTGTGCAGCACGTGTGTGGGGGCCGGCATCAACCTGATGCTCAACCCGCAAGTTACGGTGGCGTTCTGCAAGGCGCGCATGATGGCTCCCGACGCCCGATGCAAGACATTCGATACGTCGGCCAACGGCTATGTTCGTGGTGAGGGTGGGGCCGCCATAATCCTCAAGCGACTTTCCGACACATCCGCCGACTCGGTGGGCGTGCTGGCCTGCCTGAGAGGCACGGCCGTCAACCACGGGGGGAGGGCAGCCAGCCTGACAGCCCCCAGCGGGCCGGCCCAGCAGCAGGTCATCAGGTCGGCGCTGCGCCAGGCCGGCCTCCAACCATCATCAGTCGACTTTATCGAGACGCACGGCACGGGTACGTCCCTCGGTGGCCCGATCGAGGTGGGCGCGCTCAAGGCCGTGTTTGCGGGAGGGCGGGAGTCGGAGCACCCTCTTGTGCTGGGCGCCCTCAAGACCAACATGGGCCACTTGGAGGGAGCGGCGGGTATTGCGGGTGTGCTCAAGGCTGTT